GCACGCGCATTATTTCTTGATTTGCCGGAACTTCACGGGTTCCCATGATCAATGTACCAGAAATCGCGTGTTGGAACTATTCCGGATTATGAAGGTGCAGCAGATGCGTTGATTCGCTGTGTTGAAGTCCCAGGGACGGCGTTCTGGCACGATTCAGGATCGTCTATACGTGGCATTGGAATCCCGAGAACAATGTTTTGGCACGATTCAGGGTCTTCAAACGGCTGTCTTCCGACGAGGCACTTCCCTCAGTGGACATGAACCGTTGTAGGGGCCTGTGAAGACGGAGCTTGGAGGGAGGGTATATTTCAAGATCGTTGATGACCCTTGGGTTTACACTGGTCCTACTCCTACATTCTCCTCCTCCTCCTCCTCCTCCTCGTGCTCGTCCACTATCCCTTTTCCATCTCTCTCTTGCGGGGCCGGGGGGTTCGCGCAAGACGTCCTCACAAACTACTCCCCTGAAGCAACAACAACTCCACAAGTTACAAGGAAAAGACGTAGGTTCGGCAGTTTGTTTCAATGCGTCTCTCGTTGCAGCGGCACGTACATTCCTTTCCGTTGTTTCCAGCAGTTACAAGGATGGAGGGCGCTTGTTTTTCACAATGCGATGCTCGCCTTAGCGCCGCGCACATTCGTTTTGCGTCCGCCAGTTCCAAGGATGAAGGAACAGGCGTTCTCAAAATGCAGCTCTAGACACTTCAAGAATCCTCGGCGTTCGAAATTGTGCAACAACTAAACGGATGGAGGGCAATGCTATCATTTGAGACGCCCGCAAAGTGTAATGACAGAGCTGTGAATGTAACACTTACACGGATGAAGCGCTGTTCCTTTTCAAAACGGTATAACCGCTGGAGACATGTTACTTGAACATTTAATATTTTTGCAGCTAGAAAGGATGTGGACGAGGGAGCTGAGGGCAACCTCGGAATTGCTGACCCGCACCTCCCGATTTGAGAACGCGCTGCGCGTGTGGGCACGGGTTTTCGGACACCGAGGCTCCCGTTCGAGTGGGGACCTCCGTCCGACAACACGCCGCACATGCAGCCATCCTGGAATTCCGACCCCAAGGTCTGCAGATGGGAACCCTGTGAAACGCTACCTGCGGCTGCGCATCCCCCGCTCCCCGCCGCGCCCCTCCGGCTCGCCAGGTCGCCGCGGGCGGGACACGAAGGGAAAACGAGGGGGTGAAGAGGGGGTGGACGGCTCGCCCTCCAACACCCCCCCGGTCCCCCTGCCCTGCCCTTCCCGTTCCCCCCCCCGGCCCCTCGTCGTCTCGCTGCCCCGCTCCGCGTCCCAGCCTCCCCGTCTGGCAGCCCTGGCGGATCTGCACAGGTGGGCCTTGCCGCGCCCACCCGTCCAGCCCGCCGTCTCCAGGCGCCGCGGAGCCCACCCGCCCCCCCCCTCAGCGCATCCTCTTCTCGCTCCCCCTTTCCCCGCTTCTCTCCCGTCGCCGTGTCCCCCTTCCCCCAGGGCTCCCCGAATCTCCACCGTCGCGTCGCCGACTGCGTTCTCCTGCCGTTCCCCCCCCCGCGTCTCTCCTTGGCATTCCCCACCTTGGCCCTCCCCCGACCTCCTCCCCCCGACACCCCTCTATGGGTATATGCGTATGCTGTTCGGTGGTCACTTCGGGGGCGCCCAGCGGAGACGACCCAAACATTCTGACTGGACGGCCGGAAGACCGCAACAAGCCCGGCCGAAGAAGGCACAGGCGAGGGCGAGCTTGGACAAGTACTGCTGCCCGCCCAGGCAGTCACGACGCCCCGACATGGGACGCAGAAGGACATAGTACATAGCAGTACAAGGTGTCCTCCTTGGACGCGTGCGCCCGACCCAAACAAATCTTTATACAATTTCAACATAACGATCGATCTATCTATCCATACATGCACTTATCGATATACGCACATGTATATATAGATATGGAAATATATGTATATACATACTAGAACCATCGCGCGCGCTTCGCGCGCGTTCAAGTTCTAGCTAGGATAATCGTCATCGTCATCATCGCCATCCTCATCACCATCATATCCGGCGTCATCGTCAGCGGCATCGTCATCATCACCATGACCATCACCATCATCACAATCCTCACCACCACCACCATCAGCAGCAACATCGTCATCACCATCGTCATCATCGCCATCGTCGTCATCATCGTCAATATCGTCACCTGAATTATCAACATAATCATCATCACCATCGCTATCGTCATCATTATCGTCGTCGTCGTCGTCGTGATCGTCGTCATCGTTATCGTCAGCATCATCGTCATCATCTTCATCATCCGCCCACTCCTGCATCACAAGCACCATAAATAGCATCGCCACCATTATTATCAGCATCGGCGTTATCATCCTGACCATCAGCAGCATCATCATAATGATCGTCAACATCACCATCCTCAACGGCATCACCGTCATCGTCATCATGATCGTCAGCATCACCACCATCATCACCATCACTCACATCACGATCACCATCATCAACATCATCATCAGCATCAGCATCATCATTCCCACTGTCAACATCATCATCATAGTCTTCTTCCTCATCATCATCATCATCATCATCATCATCATCACCATCATCATCATCATCATCATCATCATCAGCATCATCATCATCGTCGTTAATTTCATAATAGTCGTCATTATCGTCATCATTTCCGTCACCGTCGTCTCCGAAGCTCCCCCGCCGAACTCGAGGACATCTCCGCAGCGTCTTGCATGCCGCGTGAGCAGTATTGGGGATTTAGGTTGTGGGCCTGAGGCCGCCCTGCATAATCATCATTGTGATTATCACCAGCGTCTGGAAGCCTTGCGGGGCCCTTTCGGCGCTTTTTGGAAGCCTCTTGGAGCTTCCTGGGGGCCTCTCGAGGCCTCTTGCGGACTCCTGGGGGCCTCTTGGGAGCTTCTGGTGGGCTCGGGCTCGAAATGTCAGTTCGTGTTCCCCATCTGGGGCTCCTCTTGGAGTGTTCTGGGAGCTCTTTTGGGCCGTCTTGGAAGCTTCCTGGGCCGTCTTGGGGCCCTCTTGGGCTGTCTCGGTGGTCTCTTGGGGACCTCTGGGCTCGTCTTGAGGCGATCTTTCGGGCCTTTTGGGCCGCCTTGGAGCGTCTGGAAGCCGAACTGGGGAGAACGCCCCAACCCTTCAACCCCTACTAAAAATCAGTGACAATTTCCTATTGGGCCCCTCCCGGGAGTGCTGTCGGAGATCTGCTGGGACGCCTTGGCAGCTTTTTAACCGTCTTGGAGTGCTCCTGGGCCGCTTCGGACCTCTCTCGGGCTGTCCTGAGGGCGTCCTGGAGCCATTTTAGAGGGTCCTGGGAGCGTCCTGGCGTCTCCGGCGGGGGGGTGACCACAGCCACTGGGCAAAGTGAGGCCCCCCCCTGGTCCAGGACCCCCTCCCTAAATATATATATATATATATATATATATATATATATATATATGTGTGTGGAAACAAACGTAAAGCATGTAGGATTGTGTACACAGGAGAAGGACAATCTATAGAAACATACGTACGTCGTCCAAGGCGCCTCGGAAGGCGCAGAATACTCCTCCAAGGCGCGGAATCATGTTCCCGGACCGCCTTCCGGGAACATGATGGGGACGACCTCCTGAGGGCCTCCAGTGGGCCTCTTGGGGGCCTCTCGGAGGCCTGTTGGGCTCTCCTGGAGGCGTCTTGGGGCGCGCTCAGGGTCATTTTTGGACATCTTGGGGGCCTCTGGGGGCCTCCGGGGAGGCTCTTGGGGGCCTCTTTTGGGCCTCTTGGGGCCTCGCGGTGCCCTCTTGGGGACCGCTGGGCTTGCTTAGGCAGTCTTGAAGCCCTGTCGGGGCTCTCCTGGAACCGTCTTGGGCGGCTCCTGGGCCATCTTGGGGCTCTCCTGGGCCGTCTTGGGACGATTTTGGGGGTCTCTTGGGCCGTCTGGGGGCGGTCTTGGGGGCCTCTTCGGCCGTCTTGGATCGGTTTTGGGAGACTCTTGGACGGTCTTGGAGCGTCGGAACCCCGAAAAAGCGAGAAGGCCAAAAACCTCGGAAAACAACAATAAAAATCAACGATTTTGGCTTGTCGGGGCTCTCTTGGGAGGCCTCTTGGGATGCCTTCGGGGCCTCATGGAGCTCTATTGGAACGTCTTCGGGCATTCCTGGCCATTCCTGAGGCTATCTATGCGCGTCTTGGAGCGCTCGCGGGCCGTCTTGGGCGGTCTCGAACTGTTCCTGGCGGTCCCAGGGGCCCTCTGGGACGCTTCGGACGCTCGCGGGGGCGCCCTGCACCCCCCATGGAGATTACTGGCAGCGCCCCGGGCCGCCCCCGGGCCCTACTCCGATATATATATATATATATATATATATATATATATATATATATATATATATATATACACATATACATACACATATACATAAACATATACACATACATGCATACATACTACCTACACTACTACCTACCTACCTACCTACCTACCTATACCTACATGCATGCATGCATGCATTCATGCATGCATGCATGCATGCATGCATGCATACATTCATACATACATACATACATACATCATTCATTCATACATACATACATACTACATACATATACGTATCACCATACATGTCTATGTATAAATACAGATGCATAAACCAATGACTATGTATGTACATGTATATGAGAATATATATATATATATATACATATATATATATATGGATGCATTAGTGTACCCATCTTGTAGTGTATCGTTTTCCGAGCGGTGGGGTACCTGTGGGACACGGGTCCTGGACCCTGGGGCCTTCCCCCAGGACGAGTTCTTCATCCTGAGTCGTTTCCTGACGGTGCCAGGACCTGTGAAGGGAGGGCCCCGAGAGCCCGAAAATGGCTAGCCTCAGGACCCGCTTCCCTCAGGACCTCATTCCCCCATGGCGAACTTCGGACGTCCGCGGAAGCCCGAAATGGATGTGCCAATGCCCTCCCGACCACTTAGGGCGGTAGGCCGGGCCAGCCTGGATGGTGCGCTCCAGCTCCGCCTGAGGGCCGGTGGGCAGGGAGATGGGCGCACGCCAGGCCAGCGGGCTCCCTGCTCCTCCTCCTCCTCCTCCTCCTCCTCCTCCTCCTCCTCCTCCTCCTCCTCCTCCTCCTCATCATCATCATCATAATCATCAGCATCATCAGCATCCTCATCCTCATCCTCATCATCAACCTCATCCTCATAGTCATCCTCATCATCATCAGCATCACCATCATCACCATCATCATCAGCATCATCATCAACAGCGTCATCATCATCATCGTCATCATCAGAATCATCAGGATCAGCATCATCAGCATCCACATCATCCTCAGCCTCAGCATCATTATCATAATCCTCATCCTAATCCTCATCCTCATCATCAACATCAACGTCATCCTCATCCTCATCATCATCATGATCATCATCACCATCATCATCAGCCGCATCATCATCGTCAGCATCATAATCAGAATCAGTATCCTCATCATCATCATCATCAGCATCATCGTCATCATCGTCATCGTCATCGTCGTTGTCGTCGTCATCGTCATCGTCATCACCATCATCATCACCACACCCACACCCACACCAACATCCACATCACATCCACATCATCATCACCACCCCCACCGCAATCATCATCATCACCACCATCATCATCATCATCAACACCAGAATCAGCATCATCATCATCATCACCATCCTCATCATCCTCATCATCATCATCCTCATCCAGTCATGACCACGATCAGAATCATAATCATCATAATATCACCATACCATCATCATCACCAGCATCAAAATCACCCTGGTCACCCTGCTGATGAAACACACTTACAACAACAACAACACCATCATCATCATCATCATCATCATCATCATCGGCATCAACATCGCCATCATCATCATCATCATCATCATGAACGGCATCATCAACATCATCAGCAGCAGCGGAATAACCATCATCATCACCATCATCATCACCACCACCATCATCACCATCATCATCATGATCATCCTCGTCCTCGTCCTCGTCCTCATCATCACATCATGCTCCTTCCTCCTCCCAATCATCATCACCATCATCATCATCATCATCGTCTGCAGCATCACCGTCATCATCATCACCATCACCATTATCCAGGTCATCGTCATCGTCATCGTCATCATCATCGTCGTCAGCATCATCGCACCATCATAGCATTAGAATCAACATCATCATTATCATCAGAAGCATCATCATCCTCATCATCATCAGGTTTATCATCGTCGTCAACATCAGCAGCAGCATCAAAATGATGATCATCCTCATTATCATCATCATTATCATCCTCCTCAACATCAGCATTATAATCAACAACGGCATGATCGTCATAATCATACTCAGCATCATCATCACCATCATCATCATCATCACCACCATCGTCATCATCAGCATCATCATCAGCCTCATCAACATCACCATAATCATCATCACCACCACCATCATCACAATCGCAATCATCATCATCAGCCTCAGCATTATCACCATGAGTCTCAACATCAGCATCATCATCACCATCATCATCACTCTCCACCTCCATATCCTCCTCATCATCACTATCTTCCTCCAAAGCATCCCCATATTCCTTCTCCTCGGTCGGTCGAAGCGAGGGAAGCTGGGGCGCAAACAGAGAGTGGGATGGCACAGCCAGGGCCGATCCCTCTCCAGCTCAACCTCCTCCTGGTCCTGCGCTGGCCGCGGGTGTGGCGCCCCCGCCAGCTCTCAGGGGGCTGCCCTGAGCAATGGTCCCCGAAGTCCTGCACCTGTACACAATGGCCGGCCTCCCTCTGGAGCCCGGCCTGCGCACGAGTACATACAACCGGGAAAAAGGGGAGAGGAAGGCAGCAGCAAGAGGAGGAGGAAGGAGTAGGGGACAGGCGCGCAAAAAGCGTAGCGGCAGGGGCGGCCCGGCAGGGGCAGGGGAGGGAGGGGGAAGGGAGAGGGGGACGGGGGGCGGCGGCGGTCGTCGGGGTGGTCGCTGTGGTCGTGCCGGAGGTGGTCGTCGTGGTCGTCGTGGTCGTCGCGGTCGCACTGGTGGTGGTCGCGGTGGTCGTATTGGTGGTGGGCGTGGTGGCTAGTAGTTGTGGTGCTGGGGGTCACTCGTGCTGGTGGTGGTCGTGGTGGTCGTGCCGGCGGTCAGTCTTCTGGTGATGCTGGTGCTCGTGGTGGTCGTGCTGGCGGTGGTGATGCTGGTGGTCAGCCTGCTGGTTGTGGTGGTCGTCAGTGGTGACAACGGGGCGCTCACCGACTGAGGGCGCTCAACACCATCTCTGCGTTCGTGGCCTGGAGGCGCCGGCTGAGTTGTCGCCACACGGTTCCCAGGGCGGCCACGCGTTCCGCCGAATCCATATCCTGTCCGTATGTCCGAATAAATTCGGCCGCCTCGTCGGAGGGCCGGCCGCCAGTCTCGAAGACCAGGGGGACCAGGTTCCCGTGCTCGGGGGGGTACCTGGCGCGCTTCTCCCGGACCATGGCCGCGGCGGCCACCCCGTCGTTGTTGGAGCAAGCCTGCCTGCGAGGGGCGTAAGTGCTGTGTTCGCAGGTAATGCTCCAATCAACGTAAACGGGCTGCCCAGTGGCAGGGTCGCGGGTTGCGACGTCGAAGCGCGCGAGCTGGAGCTCGCCGGTCTGCCTGTTCACGCGGTCCCACCCTGGGGCGCGTTGCTCCTTCACCGCGTGGTGGCCGGTTAGGCGCGTATGCAGGGGGCGTGCCAGTCCCGCATGCTGTCATGGCGGGCATTGCGGGAGCCGCCAACCTCGCATTTCTTGGCGCGCCACCCCTTGGGGTCAAGGGTGGCGCCGCAGACCGTGCCGTCGGCGCGCCTCTGCTGGCAGGCGGTGCCATCGGGGCAGACACGGCAGCGGAGGCGCATTTCCAGTGCAGTTAAGAAATGCGCGTCCGGGAGCGCCGGGCCCCCCTCCTCGACGGGGAGCAGAAAGCCGCCGGCGCCCGGCCCGCCGGCCCCGCGAAGGGCCACTCGCTCCTCCTCGTCCAGTGCCGTCAGCAGGCGGGCCCGAGTGGCCACAGAACGTGCTCCCCCCCATATTCCCTGTAGCTTGGGGGCGGGGTGTTGGAAGGCGCCGAGCCAGTCGAAGCGGTCGTCCTTCACTCCCTGGGCCAGGAGGTCCGCGTCCGCCTGCACGAGCGCCTGGTGCGTCAGAGGGCATCGCGCGCGGAAATCTTCCCAGGTGGCAAACCCAGCCCCTGCGGCGACCTCGTGGAGGACCAGGGCCCAGCTGGCGGCGTAGGCAGCAGCCGCAGTGAGGCGGGCGGACGGCAGGGAGCAGCCGCCGTCTTTCAGCCGCATGGTGGCCTGCGCGCGCTGGGACGCGTCCAGGGGCGCGCCGACGAGGTGCTCCAGGCTGCCGAAGATCACGTCGTCGAACGGGTCGACCCAGGTCGTGTCGCGGTTGGCCCGGAGGTGGTGGGTAACTGCTCCCTGCGCGCAGGTGCGCAACAGCGTCCAGGCAGCCTCGGCCGATAGGCCCGCGGAGCGGAGTGCGGCCAGCTTGTCGGCGAACGCGTTGGCTTTGGCCACAGCCGCGGCCCCGTCGGTGCCAGCGCGCAGGCGGACCCGCTCCTCCTCCTGCTCGAGCCACGGGGCAGCGTTTCCGAGGCATTTCAAGTGGGGCACCCGGTGGTGGGTCAGCTCAGGCGGGAGAGCCGCATCGGCATCCTTGGTCCAAACTTGCGTCTTGCCCTGGTCGACCGAGAGGCCATTTCGCGTCAGGGCGTCAGCCGCGACGGCGACAGCGGCGGAGGCGTGTTCCGGCTGGGCGAACACCATCACGTCGCCCAGGTAGCTGAAGACTTTGCAGGCAGGTGAGAGCAGCTGAAGCGCGTCGTGAATTTCGTCTAAGGCGTCGGCGATTGCCAAAGCGAAAAGCGCGGGGGACAGCGGGCTGCCCTGGTCAACCCCGCGGGTGGCCCGCACGGGCGCGGCCTTGTCCTCGCTGCCCCAGAAGAGGTGCGTAGTGGCGGTGCCAAGCCACGCCCGCGCCGTCGGCAGGAGGTCCGGGGCCCGCCGCGCCACGCCGTCTAAAATCCGTTGCCGTGGGACAGAATTGAAAGCGTTGGTGGCGTCAAACGCGAGGACCACTCCCTGCGGGAACGCCTCGGTGAGGGCCGCCAGCGTCTTGTGGACGACCTCGCACCCCGCCTGCGTGCCCACGGCGTACTGGAATCGCCCGCAGCCGCGCTTGATCCCCTCGCCGAAGATTTCGCACGCCGCGCGGCCAGCAAGCCGCCGGAGGACGCACCCGCAAGCGATTGGGCGGAGCCCCCCGTTGGGCTTGCGAAGGGCAATGAGGCGCGCCCCGAGGTTCGCCGCCGTCGCCTCCTCGCTGAGTTGCCCGAACAGAAAAAGGACGACGACTTTGGCGCAGGCCTCCCGGGCGGCGCCGTCGCAGGGCAGAGTGCGCCAGTGTTCGAATCGGGAACCATTCGGGCCGTGCCCGGAGCGCCGGGGGCTACGTCCGATGTGCCTGGAGACGGAGGCCGTGAGCCTTTGCAGCGTGTTCTGGTCTGGCGCCCGCGGCGCTTGTCCGTTCAGCACTGCCGGGGTGCCCTCTGGGAACAGTCGCTGCAGGGCTGCGTGGACGCCGTCGCCCGTGGCCGCGGCGGCGGGGCGGGTGGCGCTGGCCATGGCTTTACTAACCAAGTTTTCTCTGACCAGCGTTTCCACCCGTTTTGCCTGCTGCTCGGCCGTGGCCTGGCTTTCGGGGAGGGCGGCGCGCTGGGCGCCAGAGGAGGCGGCGATTCGCCAGAGGGCGGCCCAGTCGCCCCGCTCGGCCAGGCGCAGCCTCCTGGTGAGCTCCTGGATGAGCCCTCTGCCTTTCACGGTCTTGCCTCCGCGTTGCGTCTGGTTCCAGTGAAGGAGAACACGGTCGAAGAATGTGAAAAATTTCTCGGCGCGTCGCTGCGTGGCCCCATCCCCGGCGGACTGCGCCGTCAGCAGCGTCTGGGCGACCCGCCCCCGTAAAAGCGCCAAGGCGTGGCAGACCTCGTCTGGCACTCTGACCACCGTGGGCGCGTCGTCCCCCAGGCTGTCGTGAGAGACTGAATCCCACCAAGGCAGGTTGGGCAGGTCTGGCGCTGGCTCAGGGCGTGCCCCGCCGGCGGGATCGTAGCTCTCGGGCAGCTCATCCGGGTCCCCGTCGCCTGGCTGGTGGCCGCCCGGGTCCGCGCCTGCGTGCCGGATCCTCTTTGCCCGTTGCACGTCGCCAACGTACTGCGCGCGGGTGGTCCTCCCCGGCCGATCGCAGAAGGCTCGCACCTTGTCTTGCGCCGCCTGCGCGAGGCTCTCCGTGCCGACCACGTTGTCGTAGGGGCCGAGTCCGCCCTCCACGCGCTCCGGGTGGTAGTAGAGTTTGTGCGCGAGGGTGTGGCTGAAGGCGCGAAGGTCTCCCCGTCGGATGGGGCCTCTGCACGCGTCGGCGCGGCAATGGCAATTCCGGCGGCTCGTCATGACGTCGACGGCCCACGTGGTGACGTGCAGGTCGCGTTGCGTCGGGCGCGCTGCTGGGTGCGGCGCCGGCGGCGCCTCGACAGGGAAAGCGGGCCAGACCAAAGCGGCCGCTCCAAGTATCCCCAAGTCCGCCCCTCCCCAGGAGGCGCCGGCGCAGACCACGAGGAAGCTCCATGACCGGCAATCCCACACTGGCCGGTGGACCCCAGCCGACCACGCGAGAACACCTCCAACTCCGACGACAGTTCGCCACGCGCTGCGGTGGGCCACGACAGCTCGCAATGCCATAGCTGGAACTCGGAGCCCGGAGGCGAGGCCGCACGATCCCCATCCACCAAGGCCCCCACTCATCAAGGCCGCAGCTCCTCCGACCCGACTCCACACTGCTGGGTGGGCGATCGCCGATAGCGCCGTCAAGCTCAGCAGGCACACCGTTTCCACGACATGGAAGATATGAGTCAGGCATGCGTCTGCCCAGGCTGGCGCCTGGAGACCCAGAGGCGCGGCATGTCCCAGAGACGTTGCTCCAGACCCCCCTCCCCGGCCTGTAGCGCTCAGAGCGCGGGTGCGGAGGTGGTGCAGGAAGAACAACTCCCCGGAGGATGTTCTCCCTCCGGGTGGGCCGTCGGGGAGGCGCCTCGCGCGAGCTACCGTCGTGCTGCTCAGCGTCATGCTGCTCGACGTGGGCGTGGCCCTGCAGGGCGTGATGCCCCCCGTCGTCCAGGACATGCCGCTGGGACCACTCGCGGATGTCAACGTCCAAGGGCTGCTGCTCTCTGGCGTGCTGCTCCGGGTCGTGCTGCTCTCTGCCGTGCTGCTGGGACCACTCGCGGATGTCAACGTCCAAGGGCTGCTGCTCTCTGTCGTGCTGCTCCAGGTCCTGCTGCTCTCTGCCGCGCTGCTGGGACCACTCGCGGATGTCAGCATCCAAGGGCTGCTGCTCTCTGTCGTGCTGTTCCGGGTCGTGCTGCTCTCTGCCGTGCTGCTGGGACCACTCGTGGGTGTCGACGTCCAAAGGCTGCTGCTCTCTGTCGTGCTGCTCCGGGTCGTGCCGCTCTCTGTCGTGCTGCTGGGACCACTCTCGGATGTCAACATCCAAGGGCTGCTGCTCTGTCGTGCTGCTCCAGGTCCTGCTGCTCTCTGCCGCGCTGCTGGGACCACTCGCGGATGTCAACGTCCAAGGGCTGCTGCTCTCTGTCGTGCTGCTCCGGGTCGGGCTGCTCTCTGCCGTGCTGCTGGGACCACTCGCAGATGACAACGTACTAGGGCTGCTGCTCTCTGTCTTGCTGCTCCGGGTCGTGCTGCTCTCGGCTGTGCTGCCGGGGCCACTCGCGGATGTCAGCATCCAAGGGCTGCTGCTCTCTGTCGTGCTGCTCCGGGTCGTGCTGCTCTCTGCCGTGCTGCTGGGACCACTCGCGGATGTCAACCTCCAAGGGCTGTTGCTCTCAGTCGTGCTGCTCTCTGCCGTGCTACGAGGCCCACTTGCGGATGTGAACGTCCACGTGGTGCTGCTCCGGAGCGCGCTGCTCTGGGTCGGGCTGCTCTCTGCCGTGCTGCTGGGACCACTCGCGGATGTCAACGTCCAAGGGCTGCTGCTCTCTGTCGTGCTGCTCCGGGCCGTGCTGCTCTCTGCCGTGCTGCTGGGACCATTCGCGGATGTCAGCGTCCAAGGGCTGCTGCTCTCTGTCGTACTGCTCCGGGTCCTGCTGCTCTCTGCCGTGCTGTTGGGACCACTCGCAGGTGTCAACGTCCAAGGGCTGCTGCTCTCTGTCGTGCTGCTCCGGGTCGGGCTGCTCTCTGCCGTGCCACTGGGACCACTCGCGGATGTCGGCGTCCAAGGGCTGCTGCAACCTGTCGTGCCGCTCCAGGTCGTTCTGCTCTCTGCCGTGCTGCTGGGGCCACTCGCGGATGCCAACGTACAAGAGCTGCTGCTCTCTGTTGTGCTGCTCAGGGTCGTGCTGCTCTCTGCCGTGCTGCTGGGACCACTCGCGGATGTCAACGTTCAAGGGCTGCTGCTCTCTGTCGTGGTGCTCCGGGTCGTGCTGCTCTCTGCCATGCTGCTGGGACCACTCACGGATGTCAACGTCCAAGGGCTGCTCTCTGTCGTGCTGCTCCAGGGCATGCTGCTGGGTCCACTCGCGGATGTCCACGTCCAAGGGCTGCTACTCTCCGTCGAGCTGCTCCAGGTCGTGCTGCTCTCTTCAGTCCTCCTCCTCCTCCTCCTCCTGCTCCTCCTCCTCCTCCTCATCCTCCTCTTCCTCCTGCTCCTTCACTTCCTCCTCCTCCTCCTCCTCCTCATCCTCCTCATCCTCATCCTCATCCTCATCCTCATCCTCATCATCATCATCATCATCATCATCATCATCATCATCATCATCATCATCATGCTCATCCTCCTCCTCATCATCAGCATCATCATCATCATGCTCATCCTCATCCTCATCCTCATCCTCATCATCATCATCATCATCATCATCATCTCCATCTTCATCAGTAAGGTCATCGTCATCGTCGTCGTCATCCTGCTCTTCCTCCTCCTCCTCTCCCTCCTCTTCGTCGTCTTCTCATCATTTGTGTTAGTATTAGTCTCCCCGTTCATATTCTTCTTCTTGGTCATATAAGTATGATCATTTCCTAGTATGTTCATCAGTATTGCTAGCACAAGTTGCATTACGTTGTTATCATTCTTGGCATTCATGATCATTATCAACACCAGTATCATTATCAGTGTCATTATCAATAGTATCATTAGTATGATCCTGCATTATTTGACTTACATTATTGGTATTATCCTTCATTCGTATTATTCTACTTACATTAGTCAATATTAGGAGTATCCTTCATTCGTGTTATGCTTATAATGTATCATTTGTATCCGTGCCATCACCATTCCCAGTATCAGTATCATTAATACTACCCTTCATTATTAGTACCTGATATTATGCTTATCCTTACTATCGTTATTGTTGCTATTATCGTTGTTTAATAATATGCTGGTTATGTTCATTATGCGTATTCTGCGTTTGATTCCTCCTCCTCCTCCGCCTCCTCCTCCTCATCCGTCTCCTCCGTCTCATTCTTCCCCTCCCCTCCCCCCGTCCCCCTCCCGGCTCCCTCCTCCGTCCCCCTTCCCGCTCCCTCCTCCCCTCCTCCCCTCCCCCCCCCGTGCCTCCAACCCCTCCTCCAGTTGCCGAGGCCGGCCAGGCCCCTGCCCGCCCCTCCGCCCCGCGCCGGCCTCGCGCCCCACCAGCGGGTCCACCCTGCCCTCCGCGGCTGCCTGCGCGCCGAAAGGGGGCGGGGTGTGCTGGGCCCGGCCGGGAAGGGCACGGCCTGTGGGGGCACGACCGCGTGGTGACGGACCGCGGGGCGACTTCGAACTCCCAAGAGACTTCGCCGCGCGGTCCGTCGCCGCACGGTCTCGGGACCTCGGAGGCCCCGGTCGCCCGAGACGTCCTCGGAGAACGGCCCGCGTCCCAAAGCAGAGCGGCGACACCGAATCCCCGCGGAGTCGCCCACGCAGCGTGGTCACCATGCCGCTTGGGGGCCCCACGGCTCCCCTCCCCACGCCCCCTCCGTTGGGCGGGCGCGCGCGACCTGGGACGACGCCGCAGCCAGGCCTGGCCGCGGGCCTGGCCGGCCGCCCCGTCCGCAGCGGCGCGGCGGTGCGGACGGCTGCCTCTGGCCTAGGGCAGCCGTCCGAGAGTCCGCGGGGGGCGATGCGCGATGCGACATCCGTTGCGGACAGCGTCCGGGCCCACCTCAGACCAGGAGGGTAAGGCCGTGGCCTCGAGAATCTGGCCTGTTTGGGTACATGCAAGGCGAGGCACACAAAAAGTTGGGAGGGGAGGAGGGGGAAGAGGAAGTCCTTGGTGTCGGCGTCGGCGCGAGAGGGACGCGGCTGGTGTATGGAAAGTTCGTGTCGTGCCGACTTCGGCACTGGTTTCTGACACCGCGGGGATCGTTTCAACCTTGAACGATCGAACGTTTCTGAAACGTCATGTCAACATCGACAAATTCCGGGTCGCCAGCAGCGTGGGTGCCCTACTTGGGGGGTGGAGGAAAAAGGCCCGCAAAGGACATGTTTAGGACCCCGTTTTTTCCACCCCCCATTTCAAGTCACCCGCTTACCACCCGCCTGACCGTACCACAGCCGCAGCCAATCCCGGCAATGCTGGAGAGAGGGGCAGGGGCGGGCGGAGGAAGGAGGGGGGCGTCCTCGGAGTTTTCCTGGCGTTCACGCGGGCGGCGGGGGTCGGAGAGGGTAGGGGAGAGAAGCAAAGCAGGGAGAGGGATCTCCCTTCCCCTCCTCCTGACCTCATCCCCTCATGCCTTTGCCTGCCTCCAGCTTCGTTCCTTTTGCACCCTACCTCCGCCCCCCTCTTCCCCATCCTCCCTCCACCTCCCCTCCTCTTCGTCATCCTCCCTCAATCTCCCCTATATTCCACCCACCTCTTCCCCATCCTCCCTCCACCTCCCTTTCCCTCCAACCTCCGCCTCCATCCCCTCCCACCTCCTCCTTCACCGACTTACCTCCTCTCACCCCAATCAATCCCTGTGCACCTCCCTCTTTTACCTTTCCATCCCACCACCTCATCCCCGCCTCGCTCATCCACTACCTCCTCGAGCACCTCCACCCCGTATGGAATCCTCCCCATCTCTTCCCCTCGACGATGTCGACCCTTCCAAATGCCTCTCTGAATTCACAGACGGCTCTTTGCGCCGTGCCATCCAATTGGAGAATGAATGTGGGGGTCGGGCACAGGGTCCCCGGAATGATGGCTCGATGTGCCACGCATTGGCGATACATCCTCGATTGCTGTGCTCGGCGTGGGGGCCCATTGGAATTCCCCGCCTGCGCCCTGCGCGAGACTTGAGGGTAAACGAAACAAGGAGGCGGGGGGCCAGGGAAAGGCGGCGATGCAAAGTGCGCTGAGGGCGCGAGAAGAGAAGGGTGGGTAATTGAAGGCGACGAGGTGAGTGTCAAAATTTCCCCAACCAATCTAATGTGTGGAAACGGCGCCTCAGCAGGGGATCTTGAAGGCTAGGGCAACATGTGAATTCATATGATGTAAAAAACAGAATGTGACTTCACACCTTGGAGAAAAAATGACAACTCACAATTTGGAAACATATGAATTCACATGTTGGAAATTAGCGTGGGATTCGTTGTGAAATCGGGCCAGAATGTGAGTTCACACGTTGGGAATAAGGAAAATGGGAATTCACACGTTGGACACATGGAAAATGTGAATTCACACTTGGGGAGAAAAGCGGAGCCCGTTCGAATCTGTCTTGGGGGTCGGCAAAACATCGTTTGGGAACATGCACGACCATCAATCGCACAATCAAATCACACTTTCATCCTACTTCGCCGCCCCACGCGTGATATGCAAGAGCGCCCGCGCGCATACACGATGATGGATGGACGGCGCGTTTGCCCGCGCGGGCAACGCGCGGGCACGAACGATTGGCACTTATATGACCGCCAACAGCGGCTGTCAGTCATACCTAGTCATATACATCGACGATCGATTGAGCATAGATTAGCCATTCAGCACCCCATTACACACCCCGTGTTGCGGACCCCTTCTTTCACACTCCGATCTAGGTCCCACGACTTAAGGGACGTCTTCTTCTCCGCCGCAAACAACCATGCAAGGAATATCGAGAACGCGCATCGGATGCTTGAACCCTGCCACGGGCCAAGAGTTGTGTACACAGCACCATTGGTTCTAGCCACCATCAGCAACGCATCAACAATGTAAACATATTCATGTGCATGTATGTATATGTACATGTATACTAGAACCACGCGCGCACTTCGCGCGCTTAGGTTCTAATCGTGGCCACGGACCTCGCAGTGCAAGGACTTGGCGAGGCGCGGAATGGCGAGCGTGAAAATCTGGCCTGACCCAACCAGACCTGTCCACAAAACTTGTCTGGTAGAACCACGCGGAAAACTGCTACGGAACTCCGATAACGGGCGTCGTCGTCGTCGTTGTCGTCGACGCCGTCGTTCTTCTTCGTCTTCGTCATCAATCGTCAATCGTCGTCGCCGTCGTCGTCTTTCGACCGTGTCGTCGGCGTCGTCCCTCGTCCTCGCCGTCGTCCTTCGTTGTCGTTGTTCCCATGCGAGGCGCGTCTTGGAGGGCTCTCCGGGGCCTCTCGGGGTCTTTTGGGAGCTCTTGTGGACATGTTGGTGCGGAAGAAACGGACTGTCCACTTGGCCTGCACTTTTGGAGCCGTCTTGGGCGTCTCCTCGGCCTTCTTGGGCGCCTTCAGGGCCGTCTTGAAGCCCTCTCGGGCCGCCTGTGGCCACTCTTGCGGGATCTCGTGAGCCGTTTGACGGCTGTCTCGGGGGCATCTTCGGCCGTCTCGGAAGGAGACAACATCGTACATGTTGGAATTGCACGTTTTCCCATCGGAATTTGACGATGTTCCCCTCCCGTAGCCCTCCCTTAGCGGCCGTCTAGCGTGCGAGGCGCGTCTTGGGGAGCTCTTTGCGGCCTCTCGGGAGCCTCTTGGGAGCCTATTGGGAGTTCTTGAGGGCATCTTGGGGCGGAAGGTTCGAATTGTTCATTTGGCCTCCCCCTCTTGGAGCCGTCTTGGGGCTCTCCTGGATCGTTTTGGACGCCTCCTGGTCCGTCTTGCAAACCTCTTGGTCCACCCAGCTCTTTCTCAAGTCTTTTGAGCCGTGTGGAGGCAATCTTGACGGCCTCTTGGGCCGTGTTGGAGCGTCGGAAAACTAAAAAAACATATGTACTGAACAAGTGTGTCTTTCCCTTGGAATTTAACGACTTCCCCCTCCCCGAACCCCCCCAAGCAGCCGTCTAGCGTGCGAGGCGCGGCTTGGGAGGCTTTTGGGGAACCTCTGGGGCGTTTTGCGGAAATCTCTGCGGCCGTCTTGGACGCTGGGAAGGCGAATCAGGCGAGTATGCGAAAAAAATCCTTCCTAAAGAACTTGGAAGATGTTTGGTCCTTGGGGCTCCCGTATGGGGCGTTCTGGAGGCCTCTTGGGGCGCCTTGACGCTGCTTGGACTGTCTTGGGGTCTCCTGGGGGTCTCCGGAAACCTCTGAGGGGCCTCTTGGGGGCTTCCTTGAGCTTCCTGGGGGCCTCTCCCGCGCAAGGGCGGCAAACTCAATTCGGAGCCTTCGTCCGAGACCCCCGCTGGGAGCGGTCTTGGTGGCCTCTTGGGGGTTTCGGCGCTTCTTGGGACGTCTTGGAATCCTTTTGGGGACCTCTGGGGCGTTTGTCGGAGACTTCTGGGGCCGTCTTGGACGCTGGGAAGGAGAATCAGGCGAATATGCGAACAAAAATACGTTTCCCTGAGGGAATGGGGCGATTTTTGCTGCTGGGGGCTCCCTTGGGGAGTGCTTGGAAGCCTCTTGGGGCATCTTAGGGGCCTCTTGGGGCCTCTTGGGGGCTTCTTAGGGGCCTCTTGCGGGCCTCGGGGGTCCTCTTGGGGCGGGGGTCTCGAAGTTTCAATTGGATTCATCTTGGGCCCCTTTCGGGGCCCGTTTGGGCCGTCTTGGGCGCTTCTTGGACCGTCTTGGGGCCCTTTTGGGCCGTCTTGGGGCGGTTTGGGAAGCCTCTGAGGTCGCCAAGAACGGTACGACAGCGAAAACAATCAATATGCTAAACATAAACTATTTACGAAGGCCATCTTGGGCGTCTTGCAGCGGCCTGTAGGCGTCTCGGGTCTCTCTTGGAGCGTCTTCGGACTCTCTTGGCTCTGTGGGGGTCCTTGGTGCCTCTCGGGGGCCGTTTTGGGGCCCCCTTGGGCGCCTCTTGAGCCGTCGTGAGGTCCTCTTGGGCCGTCGTGGGGTTCTCTTGAGCGCCTCTTGGACCGTCTTGGGGCGATATGGGGGGCGTCCTGGGCCGTCTGGGGGGCGTCTGGGGCCGTCTTGGAACGTCGGGAAGGCGATAATCATTGATGCTGAAAACGTGCATTTTACGAATGGAGTTCGCCGATGTTGGCCTCCTGGGGCTGCGTTGGGCAACCTCTTGGGGTGTCTTGGGGACTGTGTTGGCGTCTCTTGGAGCCTTGTTTGGGCCTCTCAGGGAGCTGGGGCCTGTTGGGAGCCTCTGTGGGGGTCCCTGGTGCCTCTCGGGAGTCGTTTTGGGCCCCCTTGGGCCGTCTTGGGCGCCTCTTGTGTCTTCTTGGGGCCCTCTCTGGCCGTCGTGGGGACCGCTTGAGTGCCTCCTGGGGCGATATGAGGGCGTCGTGTCTTCGGGAGTACGGCCGGACCCAAGACAAACCTGAGACTCCCCGCAGGCCAAACGGAAGAACATTCGAGGGTACCCTCCCCCAGGATGCCCACGAACATCCAGCAAGCACGAAGAACATTAGGGAACCCTCCCCGAGCCGACCTCGATCTTATGCCTCGGTCCGACCGCATGCACCTGGGACCAAGAGATCTGAGGGGCAAGGATAGAAGGGGACTGGCATAGGGGGGGATGCATCGATCTGGAATCGGCGATACATCGCCGTTAGATCGGCGATAGGCCCCTGATAGTGAGTCCGCACCTTCCTGGACAGGTTGGGGCAATCGGGCCCCTATCGGCGATCAATGGGCGATTGGGGGTCGATGCATCCCCCATGTGCCTGTCCCCCCCTGTCGTTGCCCATGAAGAACCTCGAGCACCCCCCCCCCCGGACCTGCCTCCTCTGCACCCCCGCCGCTGGTCTGTCCCGCGGTCAGGCGGGGCCGCCGCGCCCGGCTCTGCCGGGTGCCGGGGGCCCCAGTGGCAGGACAGGGGGGGCCCAGCACGACGCGAGGTCGACGACGGCGGCGTCAGCACGGAGGCGGAGGTTTCAGAGTCTAGCCAGGAGAGCGCAAGGAAGTTGCCCGCGAGCACTCTCGAAGGAGAGAGAAGGCCCCGCCCAACCTCGAGGAGGAGGAGGAGGAGGAGGAGGAGGAGGAGGAGGAGGAGGAGAGCTGGATGGCTTGGAGGAGGGAAGGGGAAGAGAGCCCGAAGGAGGATGGGGCAGGCCCGGAGCAGAAGGGCCTGGACGGAGTGGGAAGCGGCAGAAGGGGAGTGAAGGTGAAGCACATGTGGAAGCGTGGAGGATGTGGGGGCGGACCTTGGTCAGGTCCGTGCCGAACTCCTCTAGAGTGGCTTGCTTGCCCGCCTCGCAGGGCCGCACGGAGGAGGGCGAGGAGGGGGAGGAGGGGGCGGTGGAGGTGGAGGGGGCATTAGAACGGGAGAGAAGAAGGAGGAGGAGAAGGAGGGGTAGGAGGGGCAGAAGAGGGAGGGGGAAGGAGGAATATAAGAACGACGACGAGCGCGAACAGGAAGGGGAGAGGGGGGAGGGGGTGAAGTAGAGGAGAACGAGACCTAAAACCGAACGTAATGCTATGGGATGGGTGGAATATTACGCTATGGCATTGTAAAACCAGAGGCGTCATATTTTCGCCAGGAAACAACAATTACAAGCATCATCATCATCATCATCATCATCATCAAAATCAGCATCACAGCATCATCATCAATAATAATCACCATCATCATCATCATCATCATCATCATCATCATCATCATCATCATCATCAACATCAACATCAACATCAACATCATCATCAGCATCAGCATCAGCATCATCATCAGCATCATCATCATCATCATCATCAACATCATCATCAACATCAGCGTCATCATCATACAGAAACACGCTCGCTTCGCGCGCGCGCGCTTAGGCTCTGATCGCAGCTTAGGCACATGGCGCGATGCAACTTGGGGTTGGCACCTGTTTGCGCCAGGCTTGGGCCAGCTTGTCGCCGTCTCTTGACTCCCTCGCCGCTCTTGGAATATTCGTCCGCATTCCTGGTCTCTCACGGATCGTGTTACATCCCTCTCTTCCCCCTGTCACCCCTCTCTCCTCCCTCCTCCTCCCGTCTGCGTCGCCCCTCCTCCCCTTCTTGCTCCTCTCTTTTCGAGCTTCTCTGCTCCTTCATTGTCAGTCGGAAGCCTTGCGTCCAGGTGGACGCGTTGGCAGGAGAAGACGTGTGATCAAACGCCATACGAGGCACTCGAAGCACAGAAGAGTGACCAAACGCCACACGAAGCACTCGAAGCTCAGAAGGGTGCCCAAACGCCACCACTCTGTTTCCTTTTTCGGGTTCCCCCCTGACTCATCTGCCGCCCTCCCACACCGACCCCTCCGAACTCGCTCTTCGCCCCTCCCTCCTCGCTTCTGGACGCCTCGGCAGCGCGGGCGGCGCGCACGACTGCTCGCAACCGCTGCCGCCGCGACACAACTCGCAAACAAACTCGAGACGCGCTGCCTGAGCAAGCGCACCTGGGCTGCGGTTCCTTGTCGGAGGTAGAAGCCGTCAAACCTCGTGGATTGGGACGACGTTTGCCTCTTCGGGCCCTTGGGGGGTGGCTTGCTGGTTTTCGGGGAGCGTCTTGGGAGCCTCTTGGGCCGCCTTGAAGTCATCGTGGGCGTCTTTGGGCGGTCTTGAAGCGAGTCAAAGCCCTCTTGGAGCCGTCCTGGAGCATTCCGGCGGCCGCCCAGGACCCCAGAAGAGGGGCCCCCCCTGGGTCCTGGTCCTCTCACGGAGGGAGAGAGGCTCAATCTGCAGTCCTCTGGCGCATTTTCCGTGTATGAGCATGTATACATTTATGGATGCATGTGTGTACATATGTATACATATATCTACACATATATACATACTAGAACCATCGCGCGCGTCGCGCGCGCTCAAGTTCTAGCTAGGGTCATGACCATCGTCATCATTGTCATCCACATCCCCGTCATCTTCATCGTCGTCATGGTCACCTTCACCATCACCATCACAATCATTTCAACATTATCATCAACATCGTGATCACCATCGCCATCGTCATCGTACTTTTCAGCATCATCATCCGCATTATCAACATCTTGTTGGTCGTCGTCGGCGTCGTCGTCGGTATAGTCATCGTCATCAGCATCAGCATCATCGCCGTCATCACCCCTGGTCCACTGCAGTCCCCTTACCCTCCTCCTCTTCCCGTTCTTCCTCTTCCCATCATCTTATACTCATCATGTTCCTCGTCGGCGTCTCCCTGAAAGGGATCCCTGTTCCTTCTCCTCCTCCTCCTCCTCCTCCTCCTCTTCTTCCTCCTTCTCGTCCTCCTCCATGTCTTCCCCGCTCTTCGGTGTGTCCCTCCTCGTGTTCCTTCACCTACTTCACCTACTTCACATCCTTCCTCCTCTCGAGCCCTCTTCATCCTGCGCTGTCCTTCCCTCCTCGCCCTCAGCATCCCTCCCCGAGCCAGATAATCAGAGAACAAGATATCTTACAAGAACATTGTCCCTCCTCCTTCCCCCTCCTGTTCCCCCTCTTCGTCCTCCTGACTTCCTCCCCCTGCTCCTCCTCCTCCTCCTCCTCCTCCTCTCCTCCTCCTGCTCCTCCTCCTCCTCCTCCTCCCTCCCACCTCCTCCTCCTCCTCCTCCTCCTCCTCCTCCTCCTCTTTCTCCTCCTGCTCCTCATCCTCCTCCTCCTCCTCGTCGTCGTCCTCCTCCTCCTTCTCCTCCTCCCCTCTTCTCTCAACGCACCCAGTACACGGGTGCCTACTGGAACGCGTGCCAGGAGCCTTCGCGGAAGCATTGTGGCAAACTCGGAGCCTCTCCGGGCCTTCCTTTGGAGCCCTTGGGGCATTTGTTGGCCCGTCTGAAGGCCCATTTCGGCCGGTCTGGGCCCCTCTTGGCTCGTCATGGGGAGCTCAGCCAGTCTTGGGGCCCTCCTGGGGCCCTCTCCGACCATGTAGGAATACTCTGGAGGCCCCCTCGGGCATCCTGGGGGCTCTCTTGGGCTGTCTTGTAGCTCTTCTGTGCCGCTTGACGCTCCCTTCAGCCCATGTTGGAACCCTCTTTGGGGCCTCTGGGGCCGTCTGGGTCACTCTGGTAACCTCTTGGGCCGTCGCGATCGCTGGTAGAACTGAAAAGCGAAGCTCCCAGAAATATACGTTTTTTTCCAAAGGAAGTGCTTGAGTTTTGCCATTGGAGGGCCGAATCGGCTCGATCGGACCGAAATGGCCCCTGAGCGACCTCCCGGCTCCCGCACCCCTGGGGCAACAGAAGATACCCATACCGCCACTCCCTGGACCTCTCCCGGGCTGTGTTCTAATCAGGATTTCGAGGCGACTCCAGCCGTGGCGACGAGGGCTTCCCAGGAGGCCCAAACGAGGGAAAGCGAGGCAAGGGTAGTGGTACAGCCAGACACAGGTCAGAAAACCATCCTTCAAGAATCCCCCCCGGCCAAACTGAAGAACACTCGACGGCACCCTCCCCAGGATCCGAAAGAACATCCAGCAAACACAAAACCGAATCATGACCTCGGCCAGACCGTATGGGTACCTTGTCCTCCTCTGATCCCCCGCACGGGGGGCACACGGCCTGGGCTGAGCCGCCCCTAGAGGACGACACGCCCACGAGCTGCTCCTTGTCGTCCTCGCGGGCCCACGGCCGGGCGGGAGGGCCGAGGGGCAAGGAAGAAGAAAGAGGAGGAGGAGGAGGAGGAGGAGGAGGAGGAGGAGGAGGAGGAGGAGGAGGAGGAGGAGAGGAGGAGGAGGAGGAGGAGGAGGAGGAGGAGGAGGGGGGGAGGAGGAGAAGAGGAGGAGGAGGAAGTGGAGGAGGAGGAGGAAAGGGAGGAAGGGGAGGAAGAGGAAAAGGAGAAGGAGGAGGAGGAAGAGGAGGAGAGAGGGAGGGAGGAGGAGGAGGAGGAGGAGGAGGAGGAGGAGGAGGAGGGAGGAGGAGGAACAGGAAGACTGGGGGGGAGGAGGAAGGGCGAGGAGGAGAAGGACGAGGCGGAAAGGAAGAGGAGGAGCAGTAGGAGGAGGAGAACGAACAGGAGGAGGAGGAGGGGAGGAGGAGGAGGAGGAGGAGAAAAAGGTGGAAGGAGGGGGGGGGAGGAGAAAGAGGAGGAGGAGGAGCGGGAGGGGAGGCGGAGGAGCGGAGGAGAGGAGGAGGAGGAGGAGGAGGAGGAGAGGAGGAGGAAGGGGAAGGAGGAGGAGGAGGAGGAGGAGGAGGAGGAACAGGAGGAGTGAGGGGGAGGAAGAAGCAGGAGGAGGAGGAGGAGGAGGATCGCACGCCACTAAGGGAGAGAGACGGAGAGAGAGAGAGAGAGAGAGAGAAAGAGAGAGAGAGAGAGGAAAAACAAAAGAGAGGGGACGCCTTGGCTGGGCCCCTGAAGGAACGAAGGAACCCCCGAACAGCTCCCGCGCCTCGACCCCAGGAGAGACCCAGGGGCCCCGCCGAAGAGGGCGGTTCGGATGCTTGCCCTTAGAAACGGCACGCTTGTTTTGCGCACTGGATCCACAAGGGCAACCTGGGAACCCAGGCTGAGCCCCTTGAGGCCACGAGCCCCCGGGCCGATGGTCGCATACGCCCCACAAGTGGAGCAAAACAGAAGCGGAGCCTGGTTTTCCCAAAAGACAGGGGACTCCAGCATATGGTGGCCTCCCTCGGCGCACGGGACGTGGGCTGCGTCCGCAGCCAGGCGGGCCATCTCGGGAGCCAAAGGCTCGGGGGGGGGACTGGGAGGGGCTCTGGGGTTGACGCGGGGCGAGGGCAACAGCAGCAGCAGCCGCCTCCTCTTCCTCCCTCCTTGCCACCTCCACGGCCTCCCCCATCTGGACCCCCCCCCCCCTCCTGGGAAACCAGCGCGAGCCCTTGGGCCCCGATTTTGTCGCAATGGCCCTCCTCCGAATAGAAAACCTCAGCGCGAGTGATAAACCTGGCCAACTGGCGCGCTAAAGAAAGCACGCCCTTGGCTGCCAGCACCTCGGGGGGGCCATGCCCGCTGAGGGTGGCTCCTGCGTTGGCCAAGCGGTCAGTTTCAGCGTTGCCCCTTTTTTCAAAGGCCGAGATCCGCCCCTCGCGAACATCCACCTCCGACGAGTGAGCCAGCACTTCGTTCCAAGAAATGTCGTCTAGCGAGCCTTGGGCAAGGATCTGGTTCCACGAGTGAACCCTGACATTGCTGGCACGACAAGCGAACCTCCGACTATCCAGACACTGGAGCGTCCCCCTGCAATCAGAATAGGAAGCGTAGGTGCCACCATAGCCGAGCGGCAGCAAAAACCAGCATAGTCTTCGCCATTTCTGGCAACCTGATCTGGGCACATCGTGGGCGGGGCGGCAACGAACCACCCTGCAACCCAGCGACGCTCGCGATCGTAGACAGCTACCCCGCAGCCCGCAGCTCGCAACGAGGGGGAAAAAAAGGCCGCCCATGCCAGAGCGGTATATATATATATATATATATATATATATATATATCTATTAAAAAAGCACGCGCCCCCCTTGGAGCATGAGCGGCGCACCCTGCCCATCAACCCTGAAGTCCCACGTCGGGCCCCAAGGCCTACGCGAGTAGAGCTGACAAGGATGGGGAGGATGCCTCTAGCGAAACGCTCGTGGAGGTTCACGGGACAAAAAGACAAACGAAGAGCGGCGGCTTTAAGTCAGCTGGGAGATTACCACGACGCCACGCGTCTCCGGCAGGGCACTCAAAGTGCCCGTTGAACAGGGCGCTTAGTTCTCCGCAGAGCATGCACTGGTCAGACAGGCCCTGGTCGTGTTGATGCAGTCGATGCTGGCACCAGTGCGACCCTATGACCATTCCCCTCAAGGTTCGCTGCTCGCGAAAACCCCCAAGTTCCACCCGCCCCAACCGCCACCTCCCCCGAGTCACCTTCAGCAACGTTGAAGTGCAACAGTTCATTAAGAGGGCGCCAGAAGATACCCCCGATCCAAGACCCCCCACCACCACCAATCTTGGCCAAACCAGCCACGTCCGAACGACGCCCGGCAGCAAACCTAGCCCTGCAGGCAATAAAAGCAAACGAGAGGTTACGGAGATTCCAGGTCTCTCCTGTGGCCTCGATGACCCAGGAGCCCGGAAACTTCAAACCCGCGCGGTTTAAAGCCAGGGCGAGGGCGGCCACGGGACCTTTTACGCGGGCCCAGGGCCTGGGTTTCTTGGCCGCGGCAAAGGCCGCGGAAAAAAAAGCAGGAAAAACAAGGTCGGTCAGCAAGCCGGCGCGCACGAATCGGCCGCCAGCAGCACGAGCGGGTCGCGAGACCACCCCCCTCGCGAGCACATCGAGGCCAGCTTCAGCGAGCAGCCCCTCGGCAGACGGCCCTCGGCTCGGAGCGCTGAGACCCTGAGGCTCTGGAGCTTGCCATTGGGGCGCCCCTGAATGCTGGCCCCGCACGAAGCCTTGGCCGAGACCCCAGCCCTGAAGACGCCCCCGACGGACGCCCCCGCTTCCCTGAGGGCGAGAACTGTTGAAACCTCCCTCTGGGCGTCCAAAAAACGGCCATGCTGGGTGGAAACCCAACGCCGCGAGCCGTCGGTCGCATCGCCTCCCGAGTCTCGGCGGACCGGGCACTTCACTTCCGGCGGCAAATTGCAATCCTCGAGATACTGCTCTGCCAGCGGCTTGGAGGAAGACAGGGGGCCGAGCTTGTTCAGGGCAATGGGCAGGCCCTTCTGTTTCAAGTCCGTCGCAATGGCGGTGAAAGCTGGAACAAGTTCGCGCCTGGCCGCGCCTGCGCCGCCTACGGCGCGCAGCGACGCGTCGCCCATCGCACCTTTGAGCCAGGCCGTGGGGCTGGCATAGGAAGCGCGGCGCAGACAGGCAAGCAAAAGGAGGCGAACCAAAGGTGGCTCCAGAGCAGCCAGCTATAACCGCGCTATTACACTGAAGTTGGCGACTGTGCGAGGCCAATTTGTATACACCACCACCGCCCGCAACAATAAGTTTCCGCAAAAAGGGCCAGGGGCAGGGTCATGCCAGACGACGCTGCGACGCCACGGCGAAAAGGAGCGCGGCGCAGCTCGCAGGCGCCGTGGCATGGGGGGTTCCTGAAACAGAAACAGCACTTCTTTGTGGTGGTGTATAAAAGTCGTCCCCCTTGGTAACCAAAAATATATACACCACCGCCGCGCGTGCTTTGATGAATTCTGTTTCGGTCCTCAAGGGGGGGGGCAGCCCGGTTGCCGCTGGCGGCGGGGGGGGGGGGCTGCGGGCTTTTCACCAGAGCAAAACTGCACCAAATCGCATCGTATAGTATTATCGATCTTGGTGGTGGTAGTCAGATATTGCGCTCGGAGACTGATCGGCCCCTGCCAAGTCACTCTGCGAGGCGCTCGATACACTGCGCAATATGCACGGTGCAATGGCAGGGGGAAATGTGCGCGCCCTGCTTCAGCTCGCATCTCCTGGCAAGAAATATGTTCGCACGACTTCCGGAGGTCCAGGAAAAGAATGCAAGTCTCAAGACCCGAGGCCATCCGCGCATACGCTGCAAGGGCGCCGTGCACCCAGGAGCTCTTGTCACAGGCTGCGTTCGCGCTCATCCCCCAAGAAACCGAGCGCCCAAAGCGCGCCCCCATTTCGAGCGCAGCCTGTGGCGGATCCTGCCCCAGACCCCAGCCCAAAGGGGCAGCCGCCCAATCGGGCGCGCTCCCCCTGACGGCTTGCCCAGGAAAACCATGAGGACGAGCCGCGTCGGGCCAACCTTCGGGCGCCGCCCCCAAGAGTTAAGGATGCCAACAAAAGACTGGACCAGGGGCCCAGGCGACTGGAGTAGCAGACGGGGACTGAAAGAGCCCCAGCCCAAGCAGGTGGACGGCGAAAAAGACGACGCCGCTCCCAAGGCTTGCTCTGCAGTGATCTCTGCAAGGTTGCCCTGCACAGGCCAGCTCAGCGACCCCCCCCCCCCCCAGCAGGATTGCCCCGAATCGGGAGCCACTGCTTGAGAGTCTGCTCGAGGGCCCCCTGCCCGACCAATGGGGGTCTGGCTAGCCGAAAGGTCCTCCTCCTCCTCCTCCTCCTCCTCCTCCTCCTCCTCGTCCTCCTCCTCCTCCTCCCCCTCCTCCTCCTCCTCCCTCCTCCCCCCCCCCTCCATCTCGTCAGCATCTGCAAAAACAGGCAGGGGCGGAGAAGCTGGGCCTTCGATTAACTTGTGAACCACACGGGGCCCCCGCTCGACGACGGGCGACGGGGCCCGAGACCTCCGCATCTGGCGACCCCCGGCAACCTCCCGCCTTATCTCCGCGGGAGACTTCGTCCTGAAGCATGTCCGTGAACCGCTCTCGAGATTCGGGCCGCCGCAGCCCTTTCACACAGAGAAGCGATCGGCAGCTCTCGCAAGTCCCCCACTTGCGCCGGTGGGAAGAGGTCGCGCAGAGGAGAAGCGGGGTCGAGGAGCTTGTGGGTATCTCGCCCTCTCATCAGTTGCAAGGCCAAGCGCCTAAGGGAGAGCCACCTGCGCGTCTAGAAGTCAGCGCGCAAGTGAAGCTCCTGGCCCCAGGCGGCCTGGAGGAGCACAAGCTGTAGCTGACAGCCCCGTGAACGGCCAAACATCTCGTGGCCCTGGGTGCCGTGGACCTCGCCTAGGGCCCTCTCAGCCGCGCCGAACAAACGAGCAGCCGCAACCTC